GGGGGGGGGGGGCAGACATGGGACCTGGGCCCACTCCGCCTGGGTCTGATCTCTGGCTCTGCCACTTACTGGGTGTGAGAACTTGGACAGGTTACATTACCTGTCTATGCTTCCATTTCTTTATCTTTAAAATGGGATTAATTATGGTACCCCAACCTAGAGCTGCTATGAAGTCTAAATGAGATGAATCATGTAAAGGACTTAGCACAAGCTTATTGAACAGGGAACACCTTAGTAAATATCAGGATTCAGAATAAAAAGGGTCTAGTGAGGGCACATCCATGGAAAATGCGGGTGTACACACTGAGGGCAAAGCACATTTGTGACTTATGTCACAAATAAAGCGAAATCATCAGTGATGGAAGAGAGAAGCAATGACCTCATGCTCCTTGGAGAACCCAGGTGACTTCTTTTTTGGAAAAGATAAATCTCATCTCTATAATTCAGTAGAAGAGTAGCTTGGGTGAGAAGATGGTAAGAGATGATGCCTAAAAAAGACAACAGAGGAAGACCGAATGAGCTTGGGGGCATTTAAACAGGGTGTAAATGTACTCCGTTATAATATCTGCTGATTTTAAGGAAGATGGAAGCATAATGCTAAGGCAAAGTCATGTTTTTGCTGCCATCTACAGTCAAAGTGCAATTTTTAAAGTTGCTTCACACACACACACACACACACACACACACACACACACACAGAACATTCTTGACAAAATGAGTGCCAATATTGATAGTTTGGTTTACGTTCCAGTAATGGAGATAATTTGGGCATGTTATTTTAGTATTTTACTTACTATTCTTTCCAAAAGTATGTATATTTAAACAGTAATATAGCCTTTTAAAATCTCAAATTTTTGAAACTCATCAGAAAACTCAGATGAGCTGCAGGTGTAGCGGCCAACAGACAATTTGAGGGCTAATACAATGATTTCAATGAATAAAGAGATAAATTGGATTTTACCCCATGTTTTCCCATTCCATGACCTGCAGTTCCTCTGTTTATTATTAGAATTATTATAAACTGCATTTTATACAAATCCCCTTTATTGTTTGGATATGAGATATCAACCGAAAGCAAGTCAAAACAAAATCTGAGATGCCTTCTGCCACTATGCTTTTATCCATATAATCTCCAAGATTATGGTGATTTTTTCCAACTTCCCTGTGCATTGCTTTTAAAGGGTTAACTATAGACAACAATTATTGGAAAAGCGTTTGATGGAGAAAAAAGAAGTGGCTCTTCAAGAAGCACACGAAGAAGAAGAGAGAGAGAGGCGGCTCGAAGCCCTTAGGAAACAGGTGTTTTTAATTTGAAACGTTCATGGGTGGTTTAAAAAAAAATGTTTCTAAGTGCTCTTAATAACATTATTCCTAGGGCTTAGTTTAGGAGTTCTGCTGTATAAAATGTAACTTGTCCAAATTGAGACACTGATCTTCATTCCTGGGAGCAATTAGGTTTATGTTGAACCATTTCCAGTTTCTTAGTATATTAAAAGAACTCTATCAGCACCTTTTAAAAAGCTCTCCCAAGATTTAAATGCATCCACATTACCTCTAGTTTAATAGCTGAATAGTATCCATTTACAGCAGTCAAACTCTGCATCTAACCCAAAGATTTTACTCTCCTCAAAAAATCCGGTGGAGCTTGACCGAGACAATCCTCTTTAGGGTAGGAACCTCTGTTTGGAAATATCCCATAATAAACAAACAGGTTAAAAATCACTTTTAAAAAATACAATTTATGTGGATAAATAAAAGCCTCCCATCGCTTTGCCCAGTAAAAGTTTTGAAAGTAGACAGTAGATGGCAAGATTAGAAATTTAAGAACTTGGGAAATGTGATAAAATAGTTTTATTTGGTAATTTTTCAGTTTTTAGCCTGGGAGTAATTAGCTCAACACAAAAGCTAGAAAGTCTTCATTGGCACCATTCCCAGCTGATAGGGAATGACTGTTTGGTTTCTGATCAGTGCCAGTGGAGGCAACATATAATCTTGGATAAGAACTTGGCCTCTGGCGTCCTTCAAACCCTCTGGTGTCCTTCAAACCTGGTACAACCTGGTTTGCTACTTACCAGCAGAAAACACTTAGATCTTTTACTTAACCTCCCTATGCTTTATTTTCCCCTCTGTAAAACAGGAATAATTTTAGTACCTGCCTGATAGGTTTACAGTAATGTCTGTTCACATTTTTTAAAAATATGTTTTGAGGGAGAGAGGAAGGGAGAGGGAGAGAGAGGGAGAAACATCGATCGGCTGCCTCCTGCATGCCCCCACTGGGGGTCAAGCCCACAACCCAGACGTGTGCCTTGACGGGAAATGGAACCAGTGACCTTTTGGTGCAGGGGATGGTACTCAAGCACCTGAGCCACACCAGCCAGGGCCATTCACATTTTTTAAATGTTTACTACGAATAATGTCCTCTTCTAAACACTCTTAGGTTTTACCTCATTTAATCTCTACAAAACCCTATGCTGTTATTAAGATTCCTATTTTATAGAAGAGAAAACGGAGGTGACACAGAGGTTCCCCGGAGTCATGCAGCTAGTAAAGGTCAGACTGAATTCAAAACAAGGAAGTCTAATTAGACGAGGTGGTACAGAGGGAGTATAAATGCATATCATCTTCTTTGAGAGAATAGACTTGAGAAATTCAAAGCATAGAAATATAAGTCCTGGTCATGCTAGATTCAACCAATTTAAATTATTCAATCATTAGCAAATAAGCATACACCATGGATTTCTGAGGACAGAACTTCATGTCACTATCACTAAACACATTTTTGTTCAAAATAGAACTTTGATAACTGTGGAGTCCATAGGATTAGAATTCTCTCCATCTGTGAAAACTTGGAAAGAGGAAATATCTCTGCCTATTAGCTTTAATCAGTGTTCAGTAATATAAGATTTTGACTAGGAAACCTATAATAATTAAAGTATGCTCAATCCCTATTTACGTCATTACAGTTCCTAACTGCATTAAAAATGCCACTTTTTAAATGCTAATTCTTCACTTTAGGAGTTAACAGGCAGGTGTTACTAATGGTGCATATAATTTACAAAATCAGTGGCTTCATTTCATTAGGACGCAGGTTTGAATCACTTCAGTTATGATAAAGAACAAGGGCATTTGGGTTAAAGTGACCCTGAAGTTGTCCAGCAGAAGTGGGAACTGTTTATAATAGTCCCTGGAAATCTAGTTGCCTGGTACAATGGAAATTCACCCATCTTACCCTGTAATGCCAACACACTCAACTTTACCCATGAATAATATACTCTAAATTCAGCTTAATCGGATCAAACTTTCTAGAAAATTTCATGAGGTTATAACCATGGCCATAGATCACTAGTGGTTAAAAATTATTGTTTTTTTAACTTTTGGTTATTTTTAAGGTGTTTGAATATGTAGGCTTTCTATATAAGATTTCCTATGACTTTTATCAGAAAGTCAAATTTTTATCTAAATTTAATCATAACTCTAATTTCAATCATCAGTAAACAATTATATATCTCAGCCTTTTAATATTATATTTTGTTTTTAAATTACTAACTCCTTTGTGGATCTCTAGGACTGGCCTGGTTTAATATTCTTTCTACTTTTCCCTCTTAGGTTTATCTTTAATAAAATTTCTTAACTTTAATGGATATTAACATTAGTAATATTACCCAGAAGTACTTAGCCTGTATCTTCTTCCAAGTTGCTATGCTTTCTCTTCTCTTAGGTCGCTATTGTTGCTCAGTTTGATCCTGTTAGAATGATGTCAGATACGATGGCATGGAAAGCCAGAATGGGTATTGGAACTGAGGAAGAATTTATTCTTCAAAAGCCACTCTTCACATTGAATACATACAGTGAACAGCAGGTAATTATGGGAATTAGCATGATTGATGCCAAAGTCATGAGATGATAAGAATTGTAGAAGTGTGTGTGTTGGGTTACAAAGCATTTTCATTATTTACATTTGAATACTACACATATCGGCATAATTTTTACTTCTAAATGATAGCACATAATTACTGCACAACTCTTAATATTATAAGATAGTTGATAGATGAGCATATAAAAAGCAGTTTATGTAGAAATGTTACAAACCTGTTGTTGGAAATTAATTTTTTTTTAAATATTTTTATTGATTTCAGAGAGAGGAAGGGAGAGGGAGAGAGAGAGAAACATCAATGAGAGAGAGTCATTAATCCGCTGCCTCCTGCACGCCCCCTGCTGGGGATCGAGCCCACAGTCCAGGCATGTGCCCCTGACTGGGAATGGAATCATGATCTCCTGACTCATAGGTTGATGCTTAATTGCTGATCCGCAAGGCTGGGTTGGAAATTATTTTTTAAACTTAAAAATAATTTTACGATTTTTTTCTTTAAAGTTGTGTTAATATTGTATTTTATTGTATTGCTCTATCATATTCAGAATTTGTTTCAATTCATAGCATAAATCCTTTTGAAGAAAAAACTGATGATGCTGATTAAACAAAGCAGAGGGAAGCTTTCCGAAATTAAAATGAACCAAAGATAATGCATCAGAGCTAACGATAAAACATTTTCTGTGAAAAAAGTATGAAGGGGCAATGTAACCATTTCTAGGAAGGGAGGGAGGGAGGACAGGTGAATGAATGTGTATCCCTGAAATTAGGGAAAAAAGTAGTTAATTTTACAAATCTGAGGAGAGATGCTAAATGCTTATTTAATTATTTAAAAAGTAGGAAACTTCATCCATTCACCTACTGACAAATAAATCAAGTGTGCCTCCAGTATGTGCTGCATACTTTGCTAGGGATTAAAAGATGAACAATTCATTAATTGGACAAATATTGATGGGATATATACTATATCTGGCACTGTACGAGGTGCCATCCTGAACAAGATAGATTCGTCCTGAGTGGAAGCGGTGAGCAGCATAGCTGGGTTGGGAGGGACAGTAACAAGTATGGGAATAATGCTCCTAGGGTGAGGTCCCCCCGTAATGGAGGTCTAAGGGCCCAGCCACCAGGGGAAGGGAATAAAAGGTTAGCCCTGACGGCGGAAACCAGAGAAAGTGTCAAAGAGGAAACCTAAGCTATATCTTAGTTGAAAATTGACAGCGGAAACAAAATTCATTCCAGATGATTTAAGCTAAAAACAAAAACAGATTAGTGGGAGGAAATGGGCATAGATCAAGGGATAAATGATAAAGATGCCAGGGTGTCTCCAGAAGCCACAGTGGGGAGGGCAGTTGGGCCTGGCAAAGAATTGAAGTCGGAGGCCGGAGAGCTCTCAGGTACCGGGGCTGAAGAAATAAGGTTTTCACCAGGCACAAGAGGGTGGAAAGAGGCCCTCCCTGGTGTGTCTGCAATGTAAGGTACCGGTCAAGGGAGGGTGCTGGGACATAGGTGAGGGTCAGGCCGTGCAAAGTGCTGCAGTGGTCTTGCTTGCTAAGACATTTCACCCTATCCTGGGAGCAGAGGTGAGACTTTGAAGCAGGTGAATTACCTAGCCAAATTTATGTTTTAGCAATGTGTCCTGAATTTCGGAAACTTGGTGAGGCTGGGGCTGGGGGCTGGAGGTGGGTGTGGCGTCAGATCCTGTCGAGATGGGGCAGCCCTCACAGAAGGGGGGGAGAGGCAAGAATGGCTCTGGCTGAGAAGGGAGGGAAGAGGGAGGGATGACGAACTCAAGCGTAATTCTAAACTAGGCAATATTTACTGGCTATTTAACATCTTTCTGTCCTGTTTTCGTCATCTGTAAAACAATAATTTGCAAGGTTCTTGTTGAAGATTAAGATAATAAATGGCAATTGTCTGGAATATTGCCTGGCACCTAGTAGTAATTCAGTAAATCATAATCATTAAGTGTTGCTGCCATTAACTGTATAAGAATATAGGAGGAGAAACAGACTTGGGGAGAGAGAATTTTTGGTCACATCACATTCAGGATGGAAATGTCTAGCGAGCATTTACAAGAAGCGCTTGGCTGCCTCTGGGAGGGGACCTGGGAAGAGGGAAGTGAGCATGCGAGGGAGATCTCCGTTTCACTTTGTTTATTCAAAAACTAGAATAATGGAAACAGTTTAAACCTCAGCCCCGGAGCTGAGGGGTTGCTGGATGCTGGAGATAATTCGGGGTGAACGAGTCACAGGTGGAGAAGGAATCACTGGGAGTAAATGAGGGTGACCGGGGAGACTGAATTGGAGCAGAAGAGGGGAAACTGAGGTTCTAAGGATCAAATATGTTGGTTGTCAGACATAAATCTCTGTATTATTCTTGACTTATGTGCATCATTGCCCCAGGTCCCTGGATCTGACCAGTTGCCAAGTTCTATTAATTCTCTTCCCTTCAGTGTTTCTGACAGTTATCTCGTCCTTGCTACCAGCCAAGTTTAGGCATATTCATTACTTCACGTCTAGACCATTGTAGCAGACCCCCAGCGGCTCTCCCTGCCTCCATCTCTTCTTTCCTTGCCACCTTAATTCATCCTGAACTTACAATCAGATCCAGCTTTTTATGCAATGACAATGATTCTATTACTTCCACACTAAAAACAGAAACAAACACAACCTCAGTAGCTCCCAGACTTCTTGGCCTGCAAGCCTTTAAAACTCAAGTCCCAGTCTTAGACGTGTCCTTTTCCAGTGTTCCCCAACGGTGCTTTACCCACACCACCCTGATTCCAAAGTGACCTATTTGACCTCTAAGTTTGTATGTGCCTTCCTTTCTTGCTCAGTCTCTCTTCCTCCCCACTCTGCTTTAGAGAAAGAAAAGTTGGACTTTAGCTCAGGTGCTCCTCCTTACCTGAGGCCACTCTAGTCTCACCGGCAGGCCCCAAGAGATGTGCCACTCTCGGGGTATCTGTCACATGTTGCCACAAACTGTAGTTATCTGTGTACAATCTTATTACCCCTATCAAAGAGCTCCTTGAAGGAGGGGCTGCTTTCAACAGCTTATTATCCAATCCTATAGGAGGACTTCAAATCTATGTAAAATGCTTCATTAGCTGAAATCTACGTGTAGTTACCTTCTTATCATTGCAAACAGCACTGTTGACATTTACTATTCATAGAAGGAGGAAGAGAGTCCAATCAGCTATAAGTGAAAACAGAAATCGAACTATTCGCGTGTCTAGTCCCACTTAGAATCAGATTGATGGAAGCATTTTCTAGTTCTTTTTGAAATAGAGATCCGGCCTGGGAAGAAAAGTTCTATTGATTTTTGTTTTCCAGGTAGTGGCCATGTGCTTAAACTTTATTTACATATTGCCAAATGATGGAGAAATAAAATGTCTGTTTAAAGGCAGATGCAGGGGGTTGTGGTTTAGACTTATTTTATTTTAATCAATGATTATCTATATTTGTATATTCCAGCTATCAATACATAATGAATCAAGGAGAGTACTGAAAGTGAGCTTCTTTCATCTCATCTTTTAATAATTCTAATATGTTGTATTTTGACTATTCTACTGTGCAGTAGTCTATAGATCTTACGTTGGAAACCAGTGATACACTGGAAAGTGACAACATCAAAAAGGTTTGGATGTTTTCAGTAAAAATAACCAGGATATAAGTCACTGTATACACAAAATTTATTGTCATCTAGTCATCTAGCTAGCAAAAAACAAAATATGCAACCTGGGGAAATATGGAACTAAATTATAAAATTTACTTTAGTTCAATGAGTTGCTATTTATTTACATTGTATTTTATTTCTACAGATCATTTCTGACCCTAGACTTCGTTTTGAGTTAGCACTTCGAGAAGCTGGACTTCATAAAACCTTTTATGCCAAAGAGATGTTGCCAAAAATCAGTCCTCAAAAACCTCCAAGAAAGGACATGGAGTCTACTGTATTTAAAACCTAGAGTTCATCTTCAAATCCTAGTAAATGTAAACAAGATGTTTCTCTAAATGCATTTATATGGATAACAATAATTACTGCTTTCTAAAATTTTCTATAATGTCATACATAGAAATTGTACCATCTATTAAAACAGCCTTATATTTTATAATGATTCTTAGAATTTTATGCACTATTTCCAATATCTTTGTTTCTTTAATAGTACTAAATTCTCCAATACTATGGAACTTAATTATGACACATTTGGTACATATATTAACATTTAGTAAATTGCAATTTGCAAATTGCCTTATCCTATGAAAAGTGATCAAAATAACCATTTGCAAGAATTATAATATATATTGCTGCTACCTGCTAACAATCATTTCTGGTTGTTATTTTTAGAACTTAACTTTTTAATCATGGACGTTTCATTATCATTAATACTTCTATTGTTTCTTGATTATTATAAAAGAAGATTCAACCTTTCTCTAAATTTAGAAACCAATTTGGTACACCATGTTTACTGCAAACCAGCCATCCAAGACAATTTCATTTTGCAAATTAGCCCGTAAGAATAAATTAGAAATTAGAAATAGCATTTCAGACATGAGAATATCTGTTTTGGCTTGGGGGAAAAATGTGTGTGGCTGTTTAGAAGGAATATTTTTAAATTTATAATATTTAGAATGTTATCAAAGTTTCACATTATCTGTTAAATATCTAGATTATATTATAGGAAGGCAGCATTTCAAATATGACCCAAGCATAACATTTTTACTGTTTTTAAAGAGCCACACAAGTATGTGTAGTGTAGCTGGTAATGCACAACAGGGAAGTGGTGCTGCCGTTGTGAGAACCATAGAGTTAATACTTGCAGTTATGTTGAAAACAGTTTAGACCTGGGAGCAGCGTAGCTATTGGCTATGCCCAGACTCATGCTTTATTAATTTCTTTATTAAAAACAGCATTTATAATAGTTACCATTTGCTGAACACAAACTGTGCTCAGTACCATGTATATCCTTTACATATGTCTTCTCTGACCTTAGATAACAACCTTATGAGATTGTTATTTCTGTTTTTTCAGATAAGGAAACAGGTTCAGAAAGGTAGAAGAATATGCCTTAGATCAGTTGTTTTTCAGCCATGAGTCAGTAAATCAATTTAGTGAATCCTGATCAGCCTTTTTTTAATGAAACAAAATAAATCTGAAATCCAAATGGCTAATAAACATATGAAAAATGGACACACCAATTAAAACTCCAATGAAATATCAATATGCATCCATCAGATTGGCAACAATACCAAGAAAACTAATACCAAGTAACACCATACAGAACAATGGGAAGCACCCACTGGTGGTGAGAGTTTAAATTGAAAAAGTTTGGATTTACCTGGTGAAGCTGTAACTGTTCATACACTTTGATAGAGCAATTCTATTCTTAAATATATTTCCTTGGGAAACCTCTGCATATGTGTTTAAGGAGACATAGACTGGGATTCCCAAATGAAAGCAAGCCACATGTTCACCAATAGTAGAATGGATATAAAAATTGTGGTATATTCATACATGGAATTGTATATAGCAATGAAAATGAAAAAGATCAACATGAACATAATATTTTGTGAAAATATACAGGCTGTGTTGTGTTTCATTTATCTAAGCTACAAAAACAGGCCAAACTAACCTATATTGTTTAAGGATACATACGTAGGTGGTGAAACAATAGAGGAAAACAAGAAAATGATTAACGCTAAAATCAAGGTAATGATTACCTCTCAAGGGTAAGAAGGCTTATGTGGGGTGGCTTCTAAGGTATGGGTATTGATTTTATGATGTTTCTATTCTTTAAAGTGTACATAAGTGTTTATATACTATTAGGTCAATGCTATAAATTCCTAATAAACTGAAAAAAGAATGTTAAGAAAGCTAGTTATTAAAAGTATAATATTTTAGTATAAGAGTACATCAGAAATCGTCTTTTTAGCCAGTTTCTGATTAAATCTCTCTAATTTATGGGAATTTCTGTGGTAGCAAGGACAGTCCCTGCCTGGGAGTCATATTTACCCTGACATAGGTTATTGTTCCTTTTATTTTCCTTCCCCCAATCCTTGTGCTCTGCTTCACTTAGACCCTTGCCAGTCTAGTTTGTAAGGTGGGCATAAAAGAGAAAACAGTACGTACCCAACAGAATCAGCACTGTGCCATGAAATTTTATTTCACCTATTTATGTGTGTGTATATAGTGGATCACAACAAAAATATATTTCTTAATGCCCCCCCAAAATTAGAAACCACTACCCTCAACCCCATGGTTAATAAATGGTATAGCCTGATGAACTCCACATCGTTGAGGATGATGGGCTTGTCTCAAACTATATGGAAAGACTGTAATCAACCCATCTGGTAGGAAGTCCCTTCAGTCCCCACCACCAAATCTACAAATATATCCAAGTCTGCATTTTCCTTTCGCTTCCTCTAGCAGTGGGAATAACTCTCTATCAAACAACAAAATTTTCATGTGTTTTGGGTTTCATCTCCTCTAAGTTCCATGAGAATTTCTCTTTTTTTGGTTATGCTTTTTCTCTCCTACATCTTCAAGATCACATAGTTTTCTTCCTTCATTCTGTTAATGTGGAGTATTACATAGATTGATTTTCATATGTTGAGTCATCTTTGCACTCCAGGAATAAATCCCACCTGGTATACAATGTTTTTAATATGCTGCTGAATTCAATTTGCTAGTATTTTGTTGAGAATGACATAAACATTTTTGAAGAATATAATTTCATTTTTTAAAAACAAAATATTTTGGGTCTTTGTGGGGTTTTTTTTGTTTTTTTAAGAAAATATATTTTTATTGATTTCCGAGAAAGGAAGGGAGAGGGAGAGAGAAATAGAAACATCAATGATGGGAGAGAGTCATTGATCGGCTGCCTCCTGCACGCCCCCTGCTGGGGATCAAGCCTGCAACCAGGGCATGTTCCCTGACCAGGAATCGAACTGCCATTTCCTGGATCATAGGTCGATGCTCAGCTGCTGAGCCATGCCAGCCGAGCTGTTTTGTATTTTTAATTCTTTTTATTTCTTAGCTTTTATTCTCCTTGAGGCCTTATCTATTATCCCCTTCATTCATTTATTTTTTAGTTGCCTCATTTCTAAAATGTTTTTCTTTTTTTTATAATTTTTGCCTGATAATATATCACCTAATTTCTGAGTTTTCCTAGTGCTGATTAATATTCTCTTACATACCTTATATAATTTTTATGTTTTTAAAATTTTTAGCTTATAATTTTAATCTATGTTGTGGTAATGTTTCTCTGGTGTTCATTCCTTATCTGTAGGGATGTTATTATGCTTCTTAATCTGTTTTTTATATTAACATTAAGATCTGATTCTTTGTTCATTTATATTTGAAATTAATTTGCTTAACTTTTAGAATTATTTGTGGCTCAAAATAGTTCTAACTTTACAGCTCTGGGGTTCTCTGTTTAGTTATACTTGTGCAGGGTTCAAAAAGTAGGCAGCTTATTTTCTGGAGATTTGTCCTCTATTTTTACCTGGACATGCTATTCCCTTTGACTGTTGTTCCTGTCCTGCTGAACTGGATGCTCCTTGCAGGTGCTTTTCATCATTGTGAAGCTTTGTCCTAGAAGGAAGTTTTGACTCGTTAGTGTGGGAATTCATGGGGCCCAGATATCTGGCCCCTTCAGACTCTACTGCAAACCCTTTGTACTCATTCATTATTAGAAGGTATAAAACTCTGTTCCAGCTGAAATAGTTTCCTGTGAGTTCTTCTTGGCTCCTTTAGAGTTCTCAGGTCCACCTAACGCCCCTTGCTTTCCTCTGTCCTGCAAAGATGTTGGGATAATAAGGTATCATAGCTGTCAGTGGTTACTCTTCATCCACTCATATTTGTTAGTGTGTGGGAATACTTTGCCACCTATGAGGTTTTGGATGGTGTTTTCCTGTTGTTGTTTCTTTCTTTTTATAGGCTGATATAAGGAGATTCAATAACTATCACTTCCACTGTCATCTTCCCAGAATCCCTCCAAAGTTAACTCTTGATCCTAATTGCCTCTTTTTTTTTTTTTTTCTAAACATGCTCTTCCCTCAAGCCCACCCCATCTCAGCGATGGCGCCACCATCCACCACATTATGCAACCTGAAATCTGGGAGTCACTCACTGTGCACCCCTCTCTCACTTGTAACATTTAGTCTATCAAGATCTGTTGACTTTCTCTCTTCTGCACTTGAACCATACTTCCAATGTAGAATGGTTCTGCTTAGTGGCTCCCCAGCCACACCATTCTGGTATTTTGAGAATATCCCACAGTATGCATCTATCTCCCACATTAGAAGCTAAATACTCAAGTTCCCCAGTCTCTTGTGGTATACTCTCAGCCGATCAAAGTTACCCACTTGAGATTTCATTCGTAAGAGCACTATGTGAGAAGGCAAGAATCCATTTTATGGCAAGGGTGGCAGTGCAGGCTTCAGCTTTAGGGGATAAAAGTTGCATAGCTTTTAGTACCTCGCACTCAGGGTTGTGATGCAAACAAAGGTGCATGGGCCTAGCGGAGCAGCAGCAGGTCTTTAGTGAAGCAGTCTCCTGGCCATGGGGGAGCATCTTCCCTAGTTGGGTAGCCTCAACCATGGACTCTCTGGACCTCCCAGAAGTTCTAAAAACTACCTAACACCCTTTAATAAATTGCTTTGCTATGTAAACTAGATTAAGTGTGTTCTGTTATTTCCAACTGTGGATACAGGGATACACTAGTCTTTTATTTCAGTTTCTATAATGTACAAACCACAGTCTCATGCCCGCTATAGATAATCTCTCCATCTCTGTAATCTGCCCTCTCAGTTATCATTTTCTTTCTCTTCAGAAAGTAGGAAGAGGACATTTCCATTTCCATTTTTAAAAATGTATTCTTAATTGTTAAATACTATTTTTTACAGCAATACTCCGTGGGAGGGCCAACTAAAAATTACTTTCTGCTCAAAGAGTTCAGCTCACTTGTCCATATCCAAAGTCGTATATAACATTTTAAAATATCATGAAAAGGGTAATAAGACTTCCTTTTTCTGGCATATATTTAGTTATTTCTTATGGGACCCCTATTTCCTTGGGTTTTACATTGCCCTCATTAAAATAGCTTCATTATCTTTTTAGCTGAAGGTAATAAATCATTTTGAAAGAAACTTGGGGAAATTGAAGACTTTTAAAAATTAAGGCTTTGCCTGGAAAACTCATGAGGAAAATCTAAGATATAGACTTTTTAAATTTATTTATTGTTTTTTAGAGAGAAAGGAAGAGGGAAAAAGAGGGGAAGAGGGAGAAAGAGAGAGAAACATTGATTTGTTCCACTTATTTATGCATTTCACTGGTTGCTTTTGTATGTGGCCTGACTGGGGATCGAACCCGCAACCTTGGCATATGGGGATGACGCTCTAACCTACTGAACTACCCAGACAGGACTCTAAGATATAGACTATTTAAGATCTCAATCAAGTCCCAGAAATGATGAAGTTTGACCTAAGGAGAAAAAAAGATCTGAGTATTCTACTGTTTCTGACATCTGATTGATGTGTTTTGGAAAAACAGTTGTACACTTGCTGGTGCATTTGAGGATGAACACTTGATAGATTACTGCCAGGTACCGAAGAGGTCCTGAGGGAGGAAATGTTCAGGAACTTAGACATTGAGCAGTTAGGAACAGTGACTATTTCACTTTGAGATTCAGCGTGGGGCTGGATAATAATAATAATAGAATTCACAAGCTGCATGGCCTCTCACAGAATAAAGTCTCAATCCTTAGAGAGGAGCATGGCATCAAATCTGTCCTGTTCTTATCTCATTTTTCAAATCTCTAGAAAGATGTTTTCTAACCTCTACAGGAATTTTTCTTTTTATAATAACAAGTGCCTGTGTTCTTATCTTTTCTACTTTCAATAGGATTTGAATCTAATTTTTTTTTTTACTGCTTAAACTGATTTAGGTTTGTTTTTAAGTACATGTTTTAAATGTCATTGTAGGCCTTACTAATTTTACCAATTACCATTTTTTTCTCAGATAATTTATTATTTTATATGTGGCAATATAAATGTGGGAAAGAGTAGTGGTATTTTCCTTCTGTCTTTCACATTTTCCCAGATATGTCAATATTACTTAGCACCACATATGCTTAAAACTCCTAATATTTATAAACAATTTCAAAAGCAATTTGCTTACATCTCTTTAAGCATTTCATAAATATTGTATTAATTTGAAATGCTTACCTTCGCAGTATATTTAAAACAAATGCTGCACAAGATGTCCTGTTACTATTGAAATATTGTAAACTAACTTAGTTTGGGATGACTATTAAAAGGAATATTTATTTTTGAATTTGCTAAAATGAAATAAAACTTTACTTGGGCATGAAAATTCTTGACTTGCAAAAGGAAATCTAGCACAATGCACATGCATTTATGTCAACATGGATTAGGACCACACTATCTGGAGAGAACAGATCCAGGTAATGCGAAGAGAATATTTTTTTATCTGTGTTGTTATATCAATATAACACAGTTGCTTACAATTGTCATAAAAGTAGAAGCCTCAGAACTTA